TACTTATGATCTCTCTCTGTCAAATAAATAAATTAAAAAAAAAAAAAAAAAAAAAAAAAAGAAGTCACGGGGACTCACACTGACAACAGCAGGCATGATTTGCGATGTAACTGCTCCTTATCCGGGCAAGTGGCAGCTTGCTATAGACCGCGCCTTGCTAAGGGCAGCAGAAACGTGTTCTTTAAGGTAAATGGGACTGCAGACCCAGAGCCAGCCAGCAGTTTGAAAGGGTAATGAGGATCCCCAGCATTTACCAAGCCCTTCCCCTCCGCTAAGCACCTCACCTGCTCACCCCTGAGAGGCAGGCATGCATACTCCTGTTTTAAAAATGAACAAACCGAGCCCTGGGACAGTTACACGATTTGCCCAGCAGCACAGTCACTGGCAAGTGAGTGGCAACTTAAACGCCAGCATTCAAACTCAGGCCCGTGTGACCCCAAATTCGAGCCTGCCCCGCACCATACAAACCACGGCCCGGATGCATCAGACGACACCGCCAGCAGAACCCAGCGCTGAACCTGGGTGATGTGACGCTAAGGTCAGCACCCTGTCTACCCCATCAGAGTGGGAATCGGGGTAAGAAGCCGGTGCCAGAGACAGAGGGGCTCCCTTCCTGCAGTCAGCAGCCCCTTTAGAGGCTCTGAAAACACAGCAGGGCCCTAGGGAGTCCCTGGACAGGGTGAGGAAGGTGGGGCAGCACCTAAGAGTCGGGGTGACTTTGGGAGATAGAGTTCTGGGTTGGAAGCCCATCTTTGTCTTTTCCCAGTCCCATCTACATGCAGCAGTCCACTCCTTGGTATACACCCAGGAGAGCTGAACCTGGATCTTGTACAAAACCCGTGTGCAAATGTACGGAGCAGCATTCCTTCTACTAGTCCGAAGGCGGAAACAGCCCAAATGTCCATCAACTAATGAATGGACACACAAAATGTCTATCTATACAATGGATTATTATTTGACCATAAAAAGGAATTAAGTACTGACACATACTTCAACACAGATGAACCTTGAAAACCTGATGTTGCGTGAAAAAAGCCAGTCATAAAACATCACCTATCACAGCATTCCATTCGTATGAAAATGTCCAAGACAGGCAAATCCAGAGCCACAGTGGAGATTAGCGGTTGCCAGGAGCTGGAGGGCAGCGGGAACGGGAAGTGACTGCTAACGGGTACGGGCTTTCTTTCAGGGACAATGGAAATATTCTAGAGTTAGACCATGGTGATGGACGTACAATACCATGAATACATTAAAAACCATTAAATTTGGGGCACCTGGGTGGCTCAGTGGGTTAAAGCCTCTGCCTTCAGCTTGGGTCATGATTCCAGGATCCTGGGATCGAGCCCCGCATCGGGCTCTCTGCTCAGCAGGAAGCCTGCTTCCCTCTCTCTCTCTGCCTGCCTCTCTGCCTACTTGTGATCTCTCTCTCTGTCAAATAAATAAATAAAAATCTTAAAAAAAAAAAAACATTAAATTTGACATTTTTAAATGGTGACTTTTATAGAATGTCAATTTTTTTCTTAAAGATTTTTTATTTATTTACTTGACAGACAGAGATCACAAGTAGGCAGAGAGGCAGGCAGAGAGAGAGAGGAGGAAGCAGGCTCCCCGCGGAGCAGAGAGCCTGATGTGGGGCTCCATCCCAGGACCCTGGGATCATGACCTGAGCTGAAGGCAGAGGCTTTAACCCACTGAGCCACCCAGGTGCCCCTATAGAATGTGAATTATGATTAAAATACTGTCGAGAAGAGTAGCACCTATAAAATGAGGATAACAGCTCTAGGTATGTTGGGAGGCCATTGGTGTGGTGCCTGGTACAGAGCAAGCACTCAGACAGCCACTATATTCTAATACATCACGTCAACACTCATACTGGCTTTCTGCCTAAAACACGAGAACGGGGGAATGATACTGGACGAGGGGGAGGCTGCTGTTACGATTCTTGAGCCGCAGCCCAGCTGGGCAACGGTGCCACTGCAGAGGGCGGGTGGGGCTGGCCACCCTCCCTTCTCTCCAGTGAAGAGTGATCTCCATGGGAACCACATCAGCTCAGGCCAGGGTCTCCTGTTCCCAGCTGGGTGACAGTATCGCCACAGCAACCTGTCAGGATGGCAAAGGCAGAGCTGGATGATGGGACTCCAGCAGCTCTGGCAGAATGGCTAAGGGACCCTCATCTCCATGGAAACCATGTCAGGAAGGAGGAGGGGAAGGGGAGCAGGCAATCAGCAAATAAACAAAGGGCCACGCCCCCTTGCCCAGATCCCAACAAGCCAAGGGGCATGTCCTGGAGGGCCAGACCTGCCTTGCTGACATTGCCTTCCTAGGGGAACTGAACTGGTATTTCTTGAGCACCTACTGCATGCCCAGCACCACGCAGCCCCATATGGGGTTCTTTACATGCCTGACTGTATTTCAAACTTCACAAATAATCCCCCCACCCAAATCCACCTAACTACAGCACTAATTAAAAGAACATGAAGTAAACTCATTTTCTTTCCTGTGCTATTCCCAGCATTTCTCACTCCTTAGTTCAGGGGATTTTCCTCCACGCCTCTGCCATGCATTTGCACATATACATGCCCCAAAACCAGTCTGCTCTGTATGCCTTTTCAAAATACTTAGTGGGATTGCACTATATAAATATATATACACACACAGCTCTCTAACTTTCTTTTCCTATTGGATATCTTTCAGCACCAGTACTTACATATCTACCTTTTTTTTTTTTTTAACTGTGCTAACATATACAGAGCATGAAATTTACCATTTCTAGTCATTTTCAAGGATACATTTCAGTGGCACTAGGCACATTCGCTTTGCCAAGCAACCACTATTCATCTCTAGAACTTTTTTATTATCCTAAACTGAAACTCTATACACACCGAATACCAATTCCCCACTGCCTCCTCTCTCCAGCACCTGGCTACCTCTACCCTGCTTTCTGCCCCCATGAATTTGGACTACCCTAGATACGTCCTATACTTGGAACCATCTAATACTGGTCCATTGGTGGCTGGCTTATGTCATTTGGCATCATGTCTTCAAGGTTCATCCATGGTGTAGCACGTGTCAGAATTTCATTCCTTTTCGAAGCTTACCAAGAGTCTACTGTATATATATATATATATATATATATATATATATATATATATATATACACTGATGGCCATTTGGGTTGCTTCTACCTTTTGCCTATCATGAATAATGTTGCTCAGAACAGAGGGGTACAAATATCGGTTCAGGTCCCTGCTTCAGTTCTTCGGGGCACAGATTCCAAAGTGGAATTGCTGGCTCATATAATAATAATTGCATGTTTAATTTGTTCAGGAATAGCCATACTACTTTATTCTTTTTAACTTCTTCATAGGGTTCTATGGTTACCCAATCTGTCATAAACAACCTCATGGGCTGGGTACTGTTATTATCCCGATATCAAACGGAGAAACGGAAACTTAGAGGGGATGTGGCTTCTGCTAAGGAAGGGGGAGCTGAAGTCAGGCAACCTGTCCCTCTCTGGGCCTCAGTTTCCTCTCCTTTACAATAGAAACACGCTGAGTTGGGGCGCCTCAGTGGCTCAGTCAGTTAAGTGTCCGACTCTTGATTTTGGCTCGGGTCATCATCTCAGGGTCATGTGCTCAGTGAGGAGTCCTGCTTCTCAACCTCTGCCCCTCCCCCTGCTCACACACACACTCTCTCCAAAATAAATAAATTAATCTTTAAAAAACAAAAAAGAAACATGCTAAGCTTCAAGGCACTCTCTGAAACTGTCTCCCCTTTTCACTATCAAGGGTGGCAGCAGTGAGATGTGTGAAGAGGGCCCCTGTGCTGTGGGCCAGACCACAGGGCGGGAGGGGCAGGAGGGGTGGGGGGCAGGGGGCTGCCTGAGGTGGGGGGGCCTCCCCCCGGCCCTTAGCAGCAAATGCCCCCTGTCTCTACACTTGAGAAACCATTGGCACGTCACACCAACATGCCCAGAGGAAGGGTAGCCGGAGAACTGTTCTGGCCTCAGGGCCGTGGTGTTCCAGTCCTGGAACACTGGCATGCCTGCCCTCGGGGAAGGTGAGGAGTGCCCTAGAACAATGTACAATCCCAGGACATCCTCATGCGCAGCCAGACAGCTGAGGCCCAGCTGTGCCTCTGTGGTCAGAAGCTGCCCAGAGCCGTCGGGAACACAGACCCCTGATTCTGGAGGATGCTAGCCCCTAGGCATCACCTAGGCGGATGGCTTTCAAGAGGTATTCTGCAGAGCCCCTAGGCCCCGTGCAACCTGAGGACATCTCTCTTTCTCTCAGGGGCTGTTTCCTCATCCAAAAATGGGTAACAATCACAACCTCACTGGGCCTTTATGAAAATTGTGGAGGGGAAGTGTCTAGCACAGTACTTAACACGCCACATGCCCAACACATAGCAGAAGACAGAAAGTACATGTAAGTGGAAGGACTCACATGAGCAAAGCCAGAGAGGCTGGTGCCTGGGGGCCATATTTCAGGAAGAATCTAACGTCCTAACATCTGTGTTGAGACACTGGCCAGAGGTTCAGCCCCAGCACTGCCTCCACACCAAATGGCAGTCCCTAAATCACGTCCTCACAAGTTACCCCAGCGAGTCCTCACACGACTGGGGGCGTCCTTGTCCTGTTCTGTAGGTGAGGAAACTGAGGCAGAGGGCCAGGCCCCACGCTGGGCACCATGGAGTGCTTCCCAGTTAATCCTCCCACAGCTGTGGTTCTTAGGTGGATGACTGTCTCCTTCATTGGCCTGTGGGCCCCTGGAGGACAGGAATCAGTGTCTTTCATTCACCACTGTGCCCTCAGCGTCTGGGACACAGCGCACACAGCAGTACTTAGGAAATGTGTGTTGCAGGAATGAACGCATGAATAAGACAGCTCTGCCAGGGAGGCGTAACTGTGCAGACACAGCGGTTCAGAGCCCCAGCTGGGTGGGGCTGGCATGCGCCCACCAGCCCGGGCCTGGCCCTGCCTGGGACGGACAGGTCCTCACCTCTCTCGGCCGTTCCAGCTCCGTCTGCAGCACCTGCTTGGCCAGCTCTGTCTCGATGAGCCGCTGCCGGAGATCCTCGTTCTCCTCCTCCAGCCGCGCCCGTTTCTTCTCCACCGCCTCCAGCTCCTTATGCAGCCGCACGGAGATGTCCTTAGAGACCTGAGCAAGGGTGGGTGATGAGCAGGGACCCCACCCCGCCCCGTTCCACCCAGCCCCGTTCCGCCCCGCCCCACCTTGGCTGCAGAGCAACCCCCCAGCAGACAGGGTCTCTTACCACTCCCACTTAGCAAATGAGAAACCCGAGGCACAGAGAAGTCAGTAGAGGGTAGGGGGTCATAAAACCAGGAAAGAGCAGAAGCAAAACCCAAACCCAGGCACCCTGTGCTCCCAGTGTCTATATCACAGTTCAGGCCCCAGGAAGCTGGGAAGACCCTGCCTGTTCTTAAGCAAGGCCTTCTCCATTATCCAGCACATTCGGTGTTTCCAATTCTCACAAGAGCCTGTGGCAGGGCCAGCTCATTTTAAAGGAAGGGAAGTCAGCTGGAGTGGAAACCAGAGCAAGACGGGCAGCCCCAGAGCCATCTGAATCCCACTGCTGCCACCAACCAGCACGTGATCCTGAGCAAACCATTTCCCCACCCTGTGCCTCAGTTTCCTTAACTGCAAAATGGGTGTAGTAATAGCGGCAGCCTCACGGGCCCAGCAGGAGGACTGAATCAGCAATTGCACAAAACACCTCGGCCTTGGGCCAGCACAGCCAGTGCTGGGGGAGTGCTCAGGCCGAAGCTCAGAGAGGGCATGACTTGCTGGAAGTCATGATGTGACCCTGAGGTTGGTTTCCAATTGTCTGGGATATAGAACATGCTCTAAATGACAAAGACTGGGCGTGGGTCCAAGTCATCCCTACGGAAAGGAACTAACAGAGTTGCAAATGCCAATCCTGGTGCCAGGGCTCTGCAGCAAAGCACCCCGTTTCCTCAAGGACACCCTGAGGGTCAAAGGCCAGGAAAGGGGAGCTTCTGGGGGTGTGGTAGGCTCCTCTGAGCCGATAAGTCCCAACTACCCCTGAGTAATCCAGGCACTATCATTTGTCAAAAACCTACCATGTGCCAGATTCATGTACCTTTACCCCAATTCTGTGTGAGGCTCGCTGCCTAAGTGACCTGACTCAGGGTCATGCCAAGCCAGGGTAAGCTGAGCTAGAGGGAGCCCCTAGGATCTGCCTGAGAGGCCAACATGGCCAGGCTCTGGAGGCGTCCAAGGGCTTTGCCAGCAAGAGGTATGTAAGGGGCAGACAGCCCAACGCCCCAGGCCTGCCAGTCTCGGAAACGGCAGGGGAAGAGAGCCTCCTCCACGCCGGAAGCGAAGAGGGCCCTCCCTGCCTCTGCCCTCTGCCTGGACCCAGGCCCAGCTCGGCATGGACCCACTGGCAGTGTGAGAGACAGGCCAGGAAAAACAACGGCCAGAAAGGAAATTCAGCCCTGCCTCTCCCTCCCTCTGTTGCCCACTACCGCACTCTGCCCCTGAAGATCTCCAGGGATGGCCAGAATCTTCCCCTGTCCCTGTCCACATCGTGGGGTGAGCAACCCGTCAGTATCAGAACAAGGACTTGGCAGGTGGGGAGAACTAAACTGAGTCCGATTCCAGCACTTTCTGTGTGGACACCCACGGCAAGTTTATTGACACATTTGAAGTCTCAGTGTGGTCACTGGTAAGTAGAGCTAAGACAGCCTACTCCCGGGGCCGCTGTGAGGAACACATGACACAGCCCCTGGGCTGGTGGCTGGAACATGGAGAAATGCAACTTTTTAATGCACTGTTGGCATCACTGCTTCACCTCCGTGCACTCATTTTATTGGACTGGGCCCAATACCCCACAGCCTCACTCTTGAGTTTGGTGCCGGGTTTTTGTCCCAGTCCCAGGCTCCTGGCTATGATCCTCAGTTTGGGGCTCTTAGGTCACCCAGAAGCCCCTGTCCTGATGAATATTCCATTCATTCATTCATTCATTCATTCATCCTGCTGAGACCGTGGGGGCAGGAGTGGGGGGCACAGAGATGAAGGCCCCGGATCACACCTGGGCTCCTTCACATCCCCATGTCCCAGCAGCAGGGCATGGTCTGGCACACGCTAGTGCCCGGTAAATGCTGGTGGGAGAACAAACAAATCCAAGGTTCCAAAAAGTGAAAAGAGAGGGAAATGAAGGAGTGAAGAATGGCTGTTGTACCTCCCCTAACTTGACTAGGGATGCTCCCCTCAATCAGCCACTCCACCCACTGTCCAGGGAGGGCTGTGTCCCTGACTGATGTGAGGGCTTCTCTCCTAACTGTGTTCCCACTTGGGGCCAGCTCCTCTCCACTGAGGGATCGCTCCATCCCCACCATGGCCTCAACCAGGGAGGCAACTACTCCCTGCCAAGAAGTCATGATCTGTGCGGTCTGTGCGGATTCCTGGGTCCTCTTGGGTTCATAAATGACTGTATTGATTTCACCCCTTCCATGAGTCCTCAGCCTCCTTCCGCCCCGTTCTCCGCAGGATCTCCTTCCTCCTTTATCCCCCACCCCCAGGGATTGCTATGTGGAGAAAGTCCAACCCCAGGCAACTTACAGGATTCCAGTGTGAACAAAACAGCCCTTAATTTCAGATTCCACAGGACCCTCTGCCCCCAGGAGAGGCCCACAGAAGCGAAGACCATGGTAGCCAGGAGGGCAGGAGTCTGGTGGTCTCTGCCTGTCCTTCCTCTCTCTGAGCCTCAGTGGCCCTGCGTGCTATCACCTCTCACGGGTGATTTATAGAATTAACTCTCACAGGGCGCCTGGGAGGCTCAGTCATTAGGCGTCTGCCTTCAGCTCGAGTCATGATCCCAGGATCCTGAGATCAAGCCCCACATCAGGCTCCCCGCTTGGCGGGAAGCCTGCTTTCCAAACTCTCCCACTCCCCCTGCTTGTGTTCCTGTTCTTGCTGTCTCTCTGTCAGTTAAATAAATAAAATGTTTAAAAAAAAAAAAAAAAGAATCAGCTCTCACTTCCTGACACCACGTGCCTTTCACCCCCCCCAGAGAGGGCTTTATGATTTCCATTCTGACGTGCAGAAAGGAAAGGTCACCTGCCCAAGGTCACATGGCTAGGAAGCTACAGAAATAAGGTTTGAAATCAGGTGGCTTAACTTTAGGGTCCTGCTCTCCACCTGACCCTGTTGCTGGCCCGAAGCTTGAAGACATCATGTTAATATCTGTACTCAAAGTATTAGTAATAAGCCCCACAGAGGGTTCACGGAGTCATGTGCTCACAGGGCCCCACCTGCTTGTCTCATTCCATCCTCGGATGATCCTCCCAACTACTCCCAGGGCAGGGGGCTGAGATACTATGTGAGGTGAAGCAGCTGCAGCTTCCGGACACCAGGGCAAACCCCCAAAGCGCAAACAATGTGCTCAGCCATGAGGTCACTGTTTACAGCGCTGAGGCCTGGCTCCTGCCAAAAGCAACCAGCAGCCTCCAGGCCATGCCCCCCCCCCCCCCCCCCCCACACCCCCCCCCGCCCCCCCCCCCCCCCCCCCCCCCCCCCCCCCCCCCCGCTCACTGGGCCTCTTGGCTCATGGGCGTCCCTGTCACTGTCACTCTGAATCCTCAGGGAGGGGGAATGGGAGGTAGGGCCTGGGAATCTGCACTATGGACAAGCCCGCCAGGGGATTCTAATCCACAAAGGCAGGCTGAGATTCTGGCATCCCCTTCCCTACCCTTGCCCCTCTATCGCCTTCTAGGTTCTTCTGAACATTAACACTACAACCAATATTTGTTCCTTTGCTGGGTGAGCACCCCGCACAAGATTTGGGGGCCAGCACTGTCTTTACTTGAGCCACTTTGTTTTAACCTCGCAAAAATCTCTATAGGTAGGGCGCCTTGGGTGGCTCAGTGAGTTAAAGCCTCTGCCTTGAGCTCAGGTTGTGGTCCTGGGATCGAGTCCCGCATCGGGCTCTCTGCTCAACGGGGAGCCCTGCGTCTTCCTCTCTCTCTGCCTGGCTCTCTGCCTACTTGTGATCTCTGCCTATAAAATAAATAAATAAAACCTAAAAAAAAAAAAAAACCTCTATAGGTAGAATCTAGTTTTATCTCCATTCTCTGCAAGGGGAAACTGAGGCTCAGAGATGTGAAGGAGTGTTGCGAGGGCCACACACCAAGCAAGGGGGAGAGCGGGTCTTTGACACGCTGCCACCCTGCCTTCCTCATGCTGGGCAATGTTCCCACTGAGGCTCTGTGGGGCTGGCAGTCTGTGAGAACCACAGACAGAGAGCCTGCGGGGGAGAGAAACCAAGGTGTTTTTCAAGGCGCCCTCACCAATAACCTACCTGCTGGACAAAACCACTAGAACTGCAAAAGCCCTACAAGATTTGGCTGCTCTCGGACCCGTATGTAACAGAAGGGTAAACTGAGGCCCCCAAGAGGTGCCCCAATGCCAGTCCTGGCCTGGGCTAAGGAGCTGGCAGAGCAAGTCAGAGTCCCTCGGAATACCCAGCTCTGGGGACCCTCCCCAGGTCGGCCCATCAAGCACTCCCAGGAGATCTCACAATTCTAAGAACCCCCAAAGTGACTGAAAACAAACCCAGCACGTGGTGTGTAGCACGGTGCCAGACCCCGCCTGCGGGGATGAGCTCAGAGCTGGCGCTGCAGGGGCGGGGAGAAGAGGGAGCCGGGGAGGAGAGGGAGCAGCGAAGGGAGCAAGGTGGACGCTGATTGGCTAGTTCAAATCCCAACAGAAGGGGCGGCTTCCCTGCGCCCGCAGCCAAGACCCCTCCCACACGCACACCAGCTGCTCTGCGCTCTGCCCAAAGAGGCGCTGGCCAGCCGGCCCAGTCGGTCGTCCTCCCTCCCTCATCTTTCTAAGGCTGACTCTTTGGTGTCCTGGCCCCAAATCCCCAACCACCCAGGCCCCAACTCTGCTTCGCCTGAACTTCCCCAGCTCTTCCTCTCCCCTCGCCCCTTCTATCCAGTGCCTGGAGTTTGAATATCTGCGTAACCATTTTGGGGGTGGGGGGCTGCCCGTCAGATAGCTTTAGCCTGGGAGACACACCCTTTCTGGGCTCAGTTTCCTCACCTGCACAGCCCACCCGTAATCCCGCTGCGCACCTGCAAAGACAATGGGAAATGCGAGCCTGCCTAAGGGCTGGCGCTCACGGTTTACCTCCCCTCCGGGCACTTACAGAGAGGGCTCTCTCCGCAGCCCCCCTCCCCACTACCGGCTCAGCCCTCATTTCGGAAGTCAACCCTGCAGGAAGAGCTGGGGGGGGACCTCCAGGCTGTACCCCCAACCCCAGCTCCTGCAGCCCCTTGCTCACACTGGGCTGAGTTCTGAAAGTGGGGAGCTGGGCACAGAGGCAGGCAGGGGGTTGGCTCTACTAGAGGTCCCTCCTGCTAGCGCCCAGCCCATCAGCAGGGAGGAGAGGTCAGGCACTAGGAGGCTGATAAGCCTGCATGGTACCCACTACACACTGAGTGTCGTGTGGCCTTGGACACAAGGTCTTTCCTTTCTCTGAGCCTCACTTTCCTCATCCAGAAAATGGGACTAATAATAACATTTTTGAGGGTTTACAGTGACGTCTTACCTGTATTATCTCTTCTAACCCTCAGAGAACCCTGTGAGGCAGGGGCTGCTGGGATACCCATTTTACAGATGAAGAAACTGAAACTTAGGTGACCTGCTCAAAATCCCCAAATTAGGGCACTTTGGAGTCCAGATTTAAACCAGCCCTATCCAATCCAGGCCTTCTTCACTACTCTCATTAGCACAATAAAGAAACCTCCACAGGGGCGCCAGGATGCCTCAGCCTCTTGATCTCAGCTCAGCTCTTGATCTCAGAGTTGTGAGTTGAAGACCGGCATTGGGCTCCATGCTGGGCGTGGAGCCTACTTAAAAATAAAATTTTTTAAAAACCCAAAGAAACCTCCCTAGATGGTACAGGGACAACTCAGAGCCCAGCATGTGGCTGCTACTCACAGTGGCCGCTGTGAGTAGGTTTCATATTTACAGTATTACCTTGGGACACCCCTGTCAGTTCACCAGGGATCCCCCAATTTACAGATGAGGAAGATGAGGCCCAGAGAGGTGGGGTAACTTGCTCAAGCACACACAAGGAGCTGACCTAGGCTCCACTGGGGTATTGGGAGAGGGCCTGAAGCTTACCTTGACATCCTGCTCCAGGCCCCGGATGAGCTCCCCATCCACCTGGCCAGTCTGTGCGGCCCGGAGACTACGGCGCTCCGCCTTGCGCAGCCGGTACTGCAGGATCCGGCAGGTCTTGCTGGCCTGGTCCAGCTGCTGTCGCAGTTCCTGCAGCTGGTACACGTCCTCCTCCATGTAGACGTCCCGCATCTCCAGCATCTCGGCGCGGAGCTCCTCGATCTCGTCCTGCAAGCGGGGCCGGGTGGTCAGGTCACCAGGCGGCCCTGCACCACTGTCTACTGGTCTGAGCCACTGTCTACTGGTTTGAACGCAAGCCACCCCCAACACTCTCCTAGGCCCCTCGGGGGCCTGGGTGTGCGAGGCTGAGTAAGGCCCCCTCCCCAAACACGTCTGTGTCCTCATTCTCAGAACCCATGGATATGTTACCTTTACAGGGCAAAAGGGACTTTGCAAAGCGGATGAAGTTAAGGATCTCCAGACTGGGAGATCTTCCTGTATTCTCGGCACCCCAATGTAATCACATGGGTTCGTGTAAGAGGGAGGCAAGGGGATCAAAGTAGGAGGTGACGTGACAGAGGAGAGGTCAGATGGACATGTTCTGAAGATGGAGGAAGGGGCACGGAGAGGGGACTACAGGCCCCCTCTAGAAGCTGGAAAAGGGAGGAGATCCTCCCCCAGAGCCCTGCCATGTGGCCTCGCCAACGGAGTCCTGCCAACACCTCGATTTTCAGACTTCTAACCTCCAGAATGTAAGATAATAATCTTGGATTGTTTTAAGGCCCTCCATTGGTGGTAATTTGTTGCAGCAAGAGGAGCCTAACTGCTCTGGGGAAGCAGGGCAGACTCATTCGACAAGCATTTAGGGATACCAACTATGTGCCAGGCCCTGTGCCAAGCACAGGGGCAGGAAGGGACGGTACTGACTGAGACCAATGGAGTCCCTCCTGTAGCTTCTGCATGGAGCCCCAGATCTCACTGGGGAGACACATGATAAGCCAACAAATTTTAAAAATCTGAATAAATGGCTAGCTAACATGCTCGAGCACTGGGGAAAGGCTGTATTCCAGGATGTGGTCAGGGTAGCCATCTCCAAAGAAGGGACATCTGAGCTGAGGTGAGCTGAAGAAGGAGCAGACACACAGACAGACAGCCAGGGAGAGATGTCTGTAGGCAGAGGGTCCAGTGTGTGCAAAAGCTTGGAGGCAGGACAGAGCTCGGGGTGTCAGAACACAGCAAGGTGGCTGGGGTAGTGAGAGGAGTGTGAGCCGAGGCTGGGGAAAGAGAGAATGGGGGTCAGCCATCTAGGGCCTTGAAGGGCCAAGTAAAAAGTCTGCGTTTGGGTTTTAAGTGGAGGGTGTTGGGGGATGACCTCACTTCCTCAGGGCAGCTCCTGACCACCTCTGTCACCAACTCCCAAATGTCCCTCACTTACCCTATGTCACCATGAGCACGTCTGAATTCTCTATTTAAGAGTCTGTCTCCCCTCTGGGAGTGTGAGTGTCTGGGGCACTGCCCCACGCCTACCCCCATCCCTGCTGTATCCCCCACACCCAGCATGGGCCTAGCACCCCACAGGTTCCCAACAAACATTAACTGAATGAGTGCAAACGTGTGCAGTTAGATAAACAACCACAAAAAAGACATAACAACCTGAAACAGTCATTAGACAGAGTGTAAGGGGACGAGGGAGGCAACCCAGCAGGAGAAATGGATGATTATTATGTCTAATAACAAATGTGCTATAAAACTTGAGTCACAAATAGAAATAATATCTACTCTTAGTATGACTGAATGAATTAAATAAGATGGTAATTAAATAAGATGGTACACTAAAAAGAGAAACTGAGTCACAGGGGAGGAATGATATGCCAGAGGCATCCCTGAGGAGCCAGAGAAAGGACCCAAGGGTGGTGCTGATGGGGGCAGGGAGGTGGGTCCAAGAAGCAAAAAGAACAACTCTGCAGGCCTTGGAGAGGGGCCACAATCCAGACAGTGTGTTCACCAGCCCCTCTACACCTTCCTTTCCCCCAAAGAAAATGGGTGGCTCCCTCTGGGGGCATGGCCTGAGGTGCCCCCCGGAGACTGGGGGTGTTGGTTTAATTCAGGAGGAGGGTTAGAAAGCAGGCCAGTTCTCACCCCATCATCTCACCCCTTTCTCACGTGGTCCTGAACTCAGGAGAAGACGGAGGGGACAGGGATCTGGTTCTCCCAACGACAGATACGGTCCCGTTCCCACCATCAACCCAAGGACTTCATCCCCACTTGCCACCACGGCCTCTCCCCTAGGGATGGCTTCCACAGCAACCCCCAAAGTGGTCCCACCTCAGTGGGACCCCATCTCCACCTCTATCCCAATATACACACAGATTCACTGCCACCATGCCAAATGGCCAGAACTAAAAGTGGAAAAAGAGGAAGTGGCACAGTCAATGATCACACCAGTCAAAAGAAATGAGGAAGTGAGGGGTCCACACGCCATTTCAGCTCATGGTTTAAGGAAGCATAGAGGAAACAGTACTCAGGAAGTATGGGCCAGTCAGCTAAACCCAAAGTCAGCCAGTCTCCAGATGAGCCCATGTTCAAATCCCCACCCTGCTATTTCCTAACATCTCACTTATTCTCCCTGCAGTCACGTGGACAGGTGACGGGGAGGATATGGAGGTGGAGGTCTGAGTGGACCTAAAACTCAGGATGAACCCAGGGAAAGGGCAGAGAACATTAAAGCTCATAATGTTGGTGGCATTAATAGAAGTATGACATTTAAGTCATGGGAAGTGACATCACTCAACACAGGAACACGTCCAGAGCACTGGAGTCAGTTTGGGGGGACCATTTATTTTGTTTACTTTTAAATAACTGATTTTTTTCTATTTATAAAAGTAGATTATGATCATAGAGACAATTTTGAAAATACAGAAACCTAATTCCTCCCCCTGGTCCTAAGTCACACTGGCTCTCAGAGTGGTTCCTGGGCTTGAAGCATATAACCATCACTGGAGAACTTGACAGAAATTCTCAGGTCTCAACTGAGAGCCACTGAATCAGAAACTCTGGGAGGGGGCCCCCCTGGTGACACGAAGGCAGGGGGTTTCCTTCCAGTCTTTTTCCTAAAAGGGCAAGAGCGATCTGTGGCAGGACCACAAGACCAGGGCCTGACACAGAGCGGAGACTCAATAAGCATCTACAGAACAAGCGAATGAATCAGTGATCTTTCTCACATGAGCAGCTGGCTCCCCGGGGCCTGCCCTGGACCACAGTCAGTTTCTGAAAATGCAGGATGTTATATTCAGGCCAGCTCCATCTCCTGTGGGGCTAAGGAGGGGAGCCCAGGCCCGTGGGGGCCTGTCCCAGCTGCAGGCAGAATGCGGGTCAGCCCCTCCTGGCACGGCCCAGGCAGGACGGCAAGGCCACAAAGGCGGGCTTGTGGCCTGCACAGGCCAGGTCGGCTGGGACTCGGGCAGCAGGAGCTGGCGGATGCAGGACTCAGGCAGGCGCTACATTCTCGGGCCCGAGGTGGGGTCAGGGAAAGCAGCTGCTAGGCCCTTGGGACGTTTCACTCCAGAGTTTCATATATATATATATATATATATTTTTTTTTTTTTTTTAAAGATTTATTTATTTGTCAGAGAGAGAGACGGCACACAAGCAGGGAGAGTGAAGGCAGAGGGAGGAGCAGGCTCCCCCCTGAGCAGGGAGCCTGACATGGGACTTGATCCCAGGACCCTGGGATCATGACCTGAGCTGAAGGCAGACCCCCAACCAACTGAGCCACCCAGGTGTCCCACTCCAGAGGTTCTTAGACCTCACTGAGCCTCTGAATCTCCCAGGGCTGCTCAGCCCTCCAGTCCCAGCCCCCGACAGTCTGACCCAACGACCGGAGCTGTGAGAGAGGGAGGGGAGCTCAGCCTTCTCCCCTCCTTCACAGACAGCCCAGGGGCTTTGGGGCTCCACCCCTCCCTCCCAGACCCCCCCAACTTTGTGCAAGGGGGAGGGAGGGGATAAACTCCATTGGCCTCTGCAGGCCCAGTGACTACACAGCAAGGTTGTTGGAGACCCCCCCCAACACCGGTGGGGGAGCCCCAAGCCTCACTCTCCCGTGCAGATAGGAAAAGGCCAGCAGCGTCCATGTCAGAGCCTGGGGGCCCTTATTCTCAAGCCCACAGTCAGAAAGCCCAGCCGAAAGAAGCTGGGGAAAGGTGGTCAGACCAGGCATGGCCTGCCAGCCCCTCGATAGCCCTCTGTCCCCTCTGGCCACCCCTTCAAGCTGACCATCTCTTCTTGAAGCTGACCCTGATTATTTAACATGGACTGAGAAGGCGGGTGTGAGCAGGGATAGAGAATAGGAATGGGGCACCCTGCCTATTGCCAGAGTAGTCTTTAATGAAAATATTTATTTCGCTCTGATTACAGAGGTCATTCCTGTCTATCGGAGAAAACTTGAAAATAAAAGGTCACTTGCTGTCTCCTCCACTGTTTCCCACTGGCTTCTGCAATAGGTCCAGCCCCTTACCCTGGAATCCAAACTGTCCATGGCCTTCCCCCTCTTTCTGCCACCCCACATCCCCCCAAGCCCCACCCTTGCATCCTCTGCCCCCCACATCCAGATATCTCAGGGCACCTGGCTGGCTCAGCCAGCAGAGCATGTGACTCAATCTCAGGGTCGTGAGTTTGAGCCCCATGTTGGACATAGAGGTTAGTTTAAAAAAAAAAAAAAAAAAAAAAAAAGAAGGGCTACCACCCATCATGAGGCTCACAAATGACCAGGCCCCAGCCCAAGCACATACATACCCAATAATCTCTTTTCTTTTCTTTTTTTTTTTTTAACTTAAATTAGTTAGCATGTATTATTAGTTTCAGAGGTAGAGTTCAAGGATTCATCAGCCTGATACAATGCCCAGTCATGCACAACAATCTGATCCCAACCCTGTGAGGGAGGTACTGAAAATGTTCCCTTTTTGCAGACAAGGAAACTGAGGCTCACAAGTTTCCCGGAGCTGCTCAAATAAGAGACCGGTAGAGCTGGAATCCAGGCCGGCCCTTAACTGTGTTCTACTCCCAGGCTGCCCAGGGCGAGTCCTGCCACTAGAAAGGCCTCTGCCAGGCTAACTCCTAATCTATATCCTCTTTCCAGAGCATTCTGTCCTCTCCCAAACCACACACTCTGAACGCCATTCTTCTCTGTACTAACAACAAGTTCAGGTTGCATTTGCCTATTTTCAAGTCTG